AGAGAGAGAGAGAGAGAATTTTAACATTTATTTATTTTTTCTTAGTTCTCGGCGGACACAACATCTTTGTTGGTATGTGGTGCTGCTGAGGATCGAACCCGGGCCGCACGCATGCTAGGCGAGCGCGCTACCGCTTGAGCCACATCCCCAGCCCCTGAACATCATTTCTAAGATGCCACCAAATATGAGACTTTCTTTTTTTTTTTTTCGGAGTGGAGGTACCAGGGATTGAACTCAGGGGCACTCACCTACTGAGCCCCATCCCCAGCCCTATTTTGTATATTATTTAGAGACAGGGTCTCACTGAGTTGCTGAGGCTGGCTTTGAACTCCAGATCCTCCTGCCTCCGCCTCCCGAGCCTCTGGGATTACAGGTGTGAGCCACCATGCCTGGCAGATATTTGAATTCTTCTATAGGATTCCCTAATTTTTAAACCTTAAAACGAATTCATAACTGAAAAAATTACGCAGTGGGCAAATTATATCACACCTGTGGGCCAGTTGGTGAACTTGGCTTGTGTTCTCATGTGACCCTGATACCCGTCCTGGTACTCCTGGTTCTGGGGCTGAGGTCACACTTCCCAGGTCAGAAAACCAAGAAGGCCCAGAGCTGACGTCTGCCTGACTCCGAGGCCTTGCTCCCAGGTTACACCACTGCTTGGCTGGGTAGGAGGCCTGTTCAGACATAGTCGGAGCTGGCACAGTGACAGAACAGCTCCAAGGACAGTAAACTGTCAGTCAGTGCAGCGTCCCTGGGCCATTCAAGAGGCACCAGGAGCTGCAGATGCAAAACTCCCCACTTCCCTCTGCCAGGACTCAACAATGGATGTCTCTGTGCCCCTTAATAAAATTAAGTCACCACAGAACCATTTCTCCCAATTATGCATTCCTTATAATGATGACACATTCATATTTGGAAGTTTTTTTTTAAGATAAGAATGTATGTTTGTGGGAGGTGCTGTGAAATAAATCGTTTTCAATTATTTGTGTCAGTCGACAGACTTCTTAATGAGGATACTGTGTTAGTCCATAGAAATAATTCTTTACTTTCCCACTGGACTGTGAGCTCCAGGTGCCCAGGAGCGGTCTGTTTTGTTTATGGCTGTGTCCCCAAACACCCAGCACAACGCCTGATTACACGGTAGGTGCTCAGTAGAGGCATAGAGGAAATGAAGGGAATCACACAGACCAAGATTCCTATTTATGTCCATGTGATTTGGAAGTCCCTCCTATTACCTTTATGTCATCCTGCATCTTAGAAAGAACCAAGGGAGGGCTGGGGATGTGGCTCAAGCGGTAGCGCGCTCGCCTGGCATGCGTACGGCCCAGGTTCGATCCTCAGCACCACATACCAACAAAGATGTTGTGTCCGCCGAGAACTAGAAAATAAATATTTAAAAAATCTCTATCTCTCTCTCTCTCTCAAAAAAAAAAAAAAATAAGATTAAATTAAAAAAATAAAAAAAGAACCAAGGGAAAGATGTCTCTAGGCAGAGGGCCCCCAGCCTAGGAGCTTCTGCCTTCATGGATTCCTACAGAGGAGGTAGAGATAATGATGGGTCTAAACACCTTCTAACTAGGCTATTATCTACCATAATGAATTTTGGAAACTACACATTATAATCCCAACAGGCCTGAGCCTGGCTCTTGGGGTATTAACAGAGGGTTGCAAGATTTTGCAGTAGAACAGGCTAAGTTACCATTTCAGTTCTGCTGTGTGACCTTGAACTGTGAGTACCCCTCTCTGAGCTGCCTCCTTCCTGAGCCATGTAGATAAACAAGCTTCATTTTCAGGATTATTGGGTTGAAAGGGGACCATCAATGAAAGTGGCTGCCCAGTGACTGTGGATTTTTGGAAGCCAATCAGCTGGAGAACTGCTGACATTGAGAACAGCCTTATCAGGATCTTCCAGGCTCAGGGCCAAGAGGCCCCATCTCTCAGGCCTTTCTGCTTCCCAGTAGGTATCGACAGATCCAGAAGCCCTTATCTCTTCCTGGTTTCATGCTGGAGATCCTGGTCTTCACTCCTTTCTGCTGCAGCAGGACACCAGGGATTGTGGGAAGGAGGCAGCTGCTTCCACCTGCGATGTGTACTGGAATAATTTGGGCAGGGCTGAACTTTGAAAAACCCCTGGCTTTGGCCTCCTGAAGCATGAGTAATACCTTTTTCATCGACTAGGCAAGCTCATGCTCTTCGGGTCTCAGTTTCCTCATCATAAAATGGGGCAATAACAACAATCTGTTTCCCTTGTCCAACAACCACCATGGTGAGGCTTTGTGCCTGTTGAAAGACTATGAGGTAGGAAAGGCCTTTACAAAAGGGAGTTTTATCGGGGACTGGGGTTGTGGCTGAGTGGCAGAGCACTTGCCTAGCATGTGTGAGGCCCTGGGTTCGAGTCTTTTTATTTAAATAAAATAAAGTTACATTTACAACGAAAATGAACATATCTTTTAAAAGTGAATTTTACTGTCATTGGGGCTCTTTAGGAAGGAGTGGAAAGGGCTGAGAACATGGCTCAGTGGTAGAGTACTTGCCTACCATAGGTGAGGCCCTGGGTTCCATTCCTAGCACCATCAAAAAATTGAAAGACGGGCTGGGGATATGGCTCAAGCGGTAGCGCGCTCGCCTGGCATGCGTGCGGCCCGGGTTCGATCCTCAGCACCACATACAAACAAAGATGTTGTGTCCGCCAAAAACCAAAAAATAAATATTAAAAAAAAATTAAAAGACCATATAAAAAAGGAAAGAGTGGGGAAAGGCAATGTCTCCATCTGCAATGGGAAAGTGCTAGCCTCTCGGCCTCTGGCTGACTTTCCCCTTCCCGGAATGGACCTCATTTTCCCATCTGTACAGCAAGAAGCTTATGTGGTCCCTGTGGGCCTTTGTAGTTCTGATACATTCTAGGATTTTTGCAGTACTAAGGGTTGAATCCAAGAGCACTCTATCCCTGAGCTATATCCTCAGCCCTTTTTATTTATTTTGAGAAAGAGTTTCACTAAGTTACTGAAGCTGGCCTTGAATTTGTAATCCTCCTGCCTCAGCCTCCCAAATTGCTGGGATTGGGGCAGTGCCACCATGTGGGTTTATATAGTCTAGGATTTATATTGGACTAATTTTATAAACTGCTCATCAGAGGGGGAAAAAACTCCTGCTGCTTTTTGAAACCACTTCATAGACAATAAAAGATTTTCAAATCCCTTGTGCTTTTCATCCTCATAGCAGTCCTAGAAGGGGCAGGACAAGGTCAATAACATAATAGGCTGAGAAGCATCTTTAGGAACTGTAACTTGAGAGACACATTGGTTGTATATCAATTTGTTCTCAAAGGTAAGTACACATAAAAATCACCTGGTAAGTTGGGTATGGTAGCATACACCTGTAATCCTAGACACTGGGGAGGCTGAGGCAGGAGGATTCAAAAATCAAGATCAGCCTATTCAGTAGCAGAGCGCTTGCTTAGCATGTGCGAGGCTCTGGGCTCAATCCTCACTCTCTCTCTCTCTCTCTCTCTCTCTCACACACACACACACACACACACACACACACACACACAAAATTCAAAGTCAGCCTGGGCAATGTACAGAGACCCTATCTCAAAAATATAAAATAAGGGCTGGGGCAATAGCTCAGTGTTGAAGTGCTTGCCTAGCATGTGTGAGGCACTGGGTTTGATCCTCAGCATTGCATAAAAATAAATAATATTAAAAAATAAATATGAAAAAAAATCATATATATATAAAATTAAAAGGGCTGGTGATGTAACTCAGGGGTAGAGCAGATGGCCCTAGTTCAAAATACAAGTACTGCCAACAACAAAAACCCTACTCGGTATGGGGATGGGGGTTGCTTATTAAAATGCAGATTTTTGGGCTCCTAGAAATTCTAAATTGTCAGGGCTGGGGTAGATCTGAAGTTAACAAGTGCCCAGGTGATTCTGAAGTCAGGTCCCTAAGGACCATGGCGAACCTTGGCCTCCTTTTTGTGGTCCTTCTTCACAACGCTGGGCTCCATTTCTCTCATAATCTTTTTCAGCACCAACTGGAGGCCAGGCCAGTGGGAGGAGGCCTCGCTGGAGCCCCCAGACTGTCGAGGAAGGCAAGCGGAGGAATGCAGGGTGTGGTCATGTTGGGACGGACACAGCATGGGCAATGGAGAAAATGAGGAACCCTGATTCCGGAAGGCTCCCAGGGGGAAGTGACGTTGACGCTGGGCCTGAGGATTTGATTCTTATTTGTATCCTAGCTACTTTTTTTACCCTTGTGGGTCACACGAGTCACACACCAGAGGGCAGGCAAGTCTGTAGACTTTACTGGTAGTGTTTCACATCTGTCCTCAGTGCTGGCACATGGCCTAGCCCAGAGAGGACAATATTGGTCGGATCAGTTGACCTGAGCAATGAGAAATGCTGATGGAACTGTCCCAGGGCCTCAGGATTGAATGCATTTTCACGCTCAGCATCCTTACCTTCTCCCTCTGTGAGGTCTAACATGGGGTTTATTTTTTTGGTACTGGGGATTAAACCCAGGGAAGGGTTTACCACTGAACTACATTCCCAACTCTTTTTATTTTTTAAGACAGGGTCTCGCTAAATTGCTCAGGAACTCTCTAAATTGGTGATGCTCCGGCCTCAGCCTCCAGAGCCGCTGGGATGACAGGCTTGCGCCACCCAGCTTGGAACCTGGGTTTACTTCTTAATGGTTGACTCTTCATGATACCGTGAACACGTTTTCTCTTCCCCTTCTTCCCTTTTCACTAGACTGTTAGCTCCGTAAGGCCCTAAGTCAAGGTCTGAACTAAGGATTTGTGAACAGAGTAGATTCTCAAAACTTCTCCTGAGCATTCGAGAGGAGTGAAGGAGCTCAAGCTGAGGTGCGCGTGCACTGGCGCTGGGGGTACGTTGCTATTGAAGGGACTGCAGCTAAAACTGGGCTTGGGCACTGGGCAAAAGGGCTGGGCCAGGAAAAGGATTTGAGTAAGCGGTGTAGGTGGGTCAAGCTGAGGATGGCGCACGTGGCTGGGGCTTTGGAGGTGGGAGGTGGGCCTGAGCATCCAGAAAAGAGGAGGGGTCCGTTTCTGGAGCTCTGAGCTGAGGTCTGAGATGAGGGTGTGGGGGCTTCAGGTGGAGGGTTTGGGGGTCACGTGGGGTCTGCTGATGGGGAGATGTGCAAAACTCTGAGCTAAGCCTTCACTACACCCGTATCATCAGGACCGGGTGTGTAGGGGCGGAGGTGGGGTCAGTGTCCCCACGCCTCCTGCAGAGGCCATCCGACCTGGGGGCGGGGAGAAAGAACGCGCCTGGCACCGCCCCG